AATTTCGCCCATAGAGGGTTAAAATAATGCAAGATCACAAAATAATCATCTCTAATAAGGCTACATTTCTTCTGGATACGCGATTCTGGATAAGTACATCTTCAGGATGCGCTCAGTTACTTTCACTGGCGCTTCATCTACTAAGCCAATTCGTGCCGATTGGAACAAAACAATGAATATTCAAGTATTACATATAATAGAGAGCAAAAAGAGTAATCACATCGTTAATCACAAATAAAAAGCGTAGGAGCCGATCCCAGACAAGAATTGCTCGGATCCAAAAACCGCGTACACTATATAATACGAAATAGAGCGAGTGGCTCCGCTGATCGTGTAATAATCGTTTTTATATGGAGCGTGTGAACCCGCGGCACAGACACGGTAACAATATTGCGTAATAATGGCAAAACTGAATACTGAATACTCTGAATACAGAATACAGAATATAGAACTAGATCTGTCTTAAAAGTCAGGTTCAGTCAGTACGCGTTTCGATGTATGCGAGAAGAGATTTCGTATGAACAATAATATAATACTTCTTGGCAGGGCCATTCGCTCTTGTACAAAAGTGTTGGAGGATGGTAAAGCGTGGTTCAAAAGATTACGGAATAATTTGAATCGAACTTCAAGTTGTAATTGAGAACTAGTTGTATGTTGCACAAATTTCCCTATACGTACACATAATCGACTTAAGAAGAATTGAGATTCAGCTATTTAGATGGAAATTCAGCTATTTATTTCTTTTTCTAAAAATGTATTTCATTTAAGTATGGACATCAACTGTAACCAGTAGCTACCTACAAAACACAAACATATGCGCGACTCTGATTAGAAATTAATTTTTTTATTGCGGGATTGAAAAATGCTCACAACTGTAATCTCCTACCACCGTTACTTCCAACCTCCTTATATCCTCCTACCACAAATCCCTATTTCATGATAGCTATTTTAGTAGTCTAAGCATTTTTCATTTAGCTTAATAAACTAGTGGTGCATGGCGTCGTGCCTTAAGGCAAATTGCTGGAACTTCCCGTACCGTAACGAAATATTCGAGAAATATTAAATGTTTTCATATAGATTATTAGAAATACTGTAACATTATCTATTATCTAATCTGAGTTGTTTTCGACTAACATACTTCAAATTTTTTTTATGAAAAAGAAAATTTGGGAAAAAAAATTTGAAATAATTTTTTCCCCAAAAGCAATTATTTTGTTAAGCAGAAAGTTTTTTGAATCATTCAAATCGGATGCTTCATTCTCTCAAAAACTCGATTTCTATTTTCAGCACTCTTTGCTCTGCATCTCCGAAACGGCTGGACCTGTCCTGTCCAAAAAATAATCAGCACACCCCATCAGTGGGAAGCGAATGTTTTTTGAACCATTCAAATCGGTTGATCCATGCGCCCGGACGAAAAATTGTATTCATACATACATACATACATACATACATACACGCACATACACACACACACACATCCACTTTTTCTGAGGTATGCCAAAACGTTCAGAAACCTTCAAAACGTGAAGAAATGTAAAAATTTTCATTTTCGATTTTTGGACGATTACAATAACTAATTAAGTTATTAATTAGTATTTATATTTTTATTACGGAATTATTATATTAAGGAATTAATAAACAATTATGTTTGGTGTAAACGTTTTTCACGAAATTTCTATCAAATTTTTTTGAGCTTATGGAATGGCTTACATCTTAGATATTATCAACAAAGAAGCTACCAATTTTATCTGTCCACATGTTTACCTGCCTACCTGGCCACATGTTTGTCAGCTTGTCTATCTATTTACCTGTCTATTTGTTAACCATTTTTATCTGTCTATCAGTTTCTAGCAGACTACCAGTTTATCTGTCTACCAGTCTAACTAAAAGTCTACCTGCTTTCTTTTCTTATTTTTTACCCGATAATCTTCCTACCTGCCTACCTGCCTAACGGCCGACCTTTCTATCCGCCTATCACTTGTCTACTTTTTTTTCTACTTTTTAACCTGTTTACATCTACATGTCTACCTGTCTTCCTGCCAACCTGTGTAATTGTCTACGTGTTTACCAATAATTATGTTTGTATTGGAATCAATAATAGTGATTGGTAAAGATCATATTTGACCAACAGTTGATCTGAAGTTTTACATTTTATTCCAATTTTTTCCACAAGTTCAGAACCACTGTACATGCAAAAATTGTAAACAATTTTTTTTTAATCATTCAAATCGCTTACTCTGTTTTCTCAATATCATTTTTAACACTTTTGCCCCATATCATTATAATGGATAAATCTGTCTTAGCCAAAAACTGACTAGCTCGTCTCGCTGTTAATACAAATCGAATGTCTTTCGAATCATTCTAATCGGATTTTCCGTTCTCGCAAAAACTGATTCTTCATTTTCAGCACTTTTTGCCGTGTAGCCGAAACGGAAGGGCCTGCCTTTGCCGGAAACTAATCATCACATGTACCCATCAATAGAAAGCAAATGTTTTTTTTAATCATTCTAGTCGGTTGATACGTGAGCACATATGTTCAATCGACCATATTTTATGTATAATTATGTAATATATGAAAAGATATTTATTCTAATACTGAATTTGCTCAAAATGTTTTTTGAAACAGATTAAGGCATATGAAATAAATACTTTGGTAAAACTTTTGATAAATGTACTAAATGGTTCTGGAATTATTCTATCATTATTATTATATCAATGTTAAAATACTGAATCATCTCGCACAGCTAATAAAAGCCGTTTAAATAAATAATTAATTAGTATCAACAAAATGCAATGTATCGCATATAAACATAATCTCTGATTGCGATAAAACATATTTCTTAATTGGCTCCACTTATCACTTTGATTTTATTAATAAATTTATTTCATGCCAAATCCCTTATCGTTTATCGTAAATAATGCATTTAAACTGTGCTTTAATGTAAGAAATTTAATGTTTTAGTTGTAAAGATAATGGACGTGATTCGTGCCATGTTTTCTGAATGTGTTGTCACGTTTTCTCAACGAAGTGTGTATATCTACCGAAATGATCTTCGACCTCTTCGTTTTAATGCATTTTAATTTTTTTCAATCGCCGTGATTCCAAATAGATTTAGGTTGGCCGAAAAAAACATTGTTTGGTAACGGTCTCAAATAGAAAAAAACTGTTAAGTTTGAAACAAAGAATTAAGAAATTATTAAAAATTGGCAAAATATTAAAATATTTCTCATCTAAAAAATAATATCGTATTTTTACATACGATTAATGTGTTTGTTAATTTTAGAAACGACAAATACCTGATAAAAAATTTAATAGATCTCATCAGGCATAATTTATGCTTCAAAATACATTTTGGTGCAGAGGTCATACGTTCCCGAGATAATCTTTCTAAATTATACTTGAATAATGTATAAATTTGACAGAATAAATAATATATGCATGCATTAAACGAAAATATATACAATTCTTTAAAATATCATATCATAATTATGCAAATCAAATTAGTGATAAATTGGAATTAGTTATATATTTTTATGGACATATTTATCGTATATATTTTATATTAGTAATAATTCCAGAAGTGCGTGTGCTATACAGGTTTCATGTTCTTACAGTTACTTGATATTCTGCTGGTGATAAATATTTTTTGATTTTTAAATAGTGGAATTTATGAATGTAAAATGTTTATTATATTATTCGTGACGATTTTGATTTATTACAAAACCGATAAATTTGAAAATAATAATTTGAAATGATTCCATAAAGTTATAAACGAAGATTGTATATTGATAAGTGTTTGATATTCAGCATAGATTTATTGCAATCATGAGCTTAAATTATGCAATTAACATCAAATTCTGG